TCGGCGGGCAGCTCGCCCTCGCCCGCCACCCCCACCTCGCGCGCAAGCCGAAGCGCCTACTCCCACCCACGCACCAGCTGACGACTCGCCGCCCGCCTCGCCCCGCCCCTCGCGATCGAGGCGGCACGCCAGCGGCAGCAGCTCCGGGAAGCGACTCGACCAGACCTAGTCAGGGGGGGAGCCCCCCGGTGAGTCGCTCCAGCGGTGAGCAGCTCCAGCGGCCAGCGGCCTCCGGTTTGGCAAGCAGACCTCGACGTACAGCCCTGGCACGCCGGGCAGCAGCCGGCGCAGCCTCGGCGGCAAGTCGGCGCGATGGTGCCACGAGTTGCGCACGAAGCGGAGGAGCGCGCGCGCCGAGTCGGGCGCATAGCCCCGCCTGCTGACTCAAGCAATCCGCAGTTGGTGACTGTTGGAGAGCGCTTCACGCACCGGACGCGCAACCGCGCCGTCTCGACCCCTCCGCCAGCAGCGACGCGGGGACGCGCTCGCCCCACGGCTGCCAGCCCAACCGCGCCGCCTCCGCCTCGAAGAGGCGCAACGCGGCCGACACGGCGGCGGGCACGGCGGGCGCCTCCGGCTGCGCGCTCGCCAGCACCTCCACTGCGTCAGACACCTCGAGCAGCAGCCGCAGCTGAATTAATTACTCGTTATTCATTGATTACTTAGGCGGAGAGGAGGACACATCGAGCAGCAGCCGCATTCACTATTCTTAATTAATAATTACTATTAAATTAATTAGTGACACCTCGAGCAGCAGCCGCAGCCTGCTGGAGCCGGACCAGAAGAAGGGGTGGCGCAGCACGTCCGCCGCGGCGCACCGGCTCGCGGGCAGCGGCTCGAGCACCTGGAGGAGCCAATCAAGGATGGCGAGGAGCGGGTGAGGAGGCTCGCCCGCTCGCCTCCGGCTCGGGTGCGCCGACTGGAGCAGCGCGTGGAACTCGCCGACGCGGCCGCGCGCCTAATTAACTAGGTTCGTCTTAATTATTAATTAATTAGGTGGAACTCGCCGGCGCGGCCGCGCGCCGCGACGCGGCTCGCGCACTCGCGCGGCAGGCAGAGGGGAGGGCGGCAGCCGCGCGCGATGTTGAGCTCGATCTCGATCGGCCCGCCTAATTCATTCATCGGCAGTTAATTAGTGGCTGATTCGGCGATGTCGATCTCGATCTCGATTCGCCCGCCCGGGTAAGGGTGAGACCCACACAGCGCCGCGTGCAGCAAACAGCCGAGCGAAAACACGTCCGCCGGCCTCGCGTCGCGCCGCTCGCCGCACCCCTCTCCCTCGCCGCCGCCTCCCTCGCCGCCGCCACGCTCGCCGCCAGCGGCGCTGCGGCGGCCCAGCTGGCTCCGGTCGGCGGCGAGGAGAGGGCGCAGCAGCTCGGGCGCCGACCAGCCGCGCGAGCCGAACCTAATGAATTAATTATTACTAACCTAATCAGTCATTATTGATTAGGATCTCGCCGACCAGCCGCGCGAGCCGGACCCGAGCGAGGCGGTGGAGGAGGCGTGCGAGAGCGGGCTCGAGAGGCCGGCGTGCACCTGTCCTCAGCTGGAGGTGTGAAGAGGCGCTCCTCACACCTGCAGGCCGGGCAAGCCTTCACGTGCACCGACGCAGCGAACCCAAAGTCCGAGAGCTTGGCGACGCCGGCGGCGGAGAGGAGGACGTTGGACGGCTTGACGTCGCCTAGTTAACTGATCATTGATGCTTAACTAATTAGGCGGAGAGGAGGACGTTGGACGGCTTGACGTCGCCGTGGGAGAGGCCGTGCGCGTGCAAGTGCGCCAAGCCCCGCACCTGGCGGAGGCGCGCCGTGGACGCGTCAGAGGGCGTGTCCCAGCCGCGTGCGAGTGCGCCGAGCTCTCTCGCCGTCTGCGCGAGCAGCTGCAGCCCGTCCGTTGCAGGGCGCGGGTCCTCCCCCCCCTCCTGCGCCTCCCCGCCTCGCCGCCCGCCCTCCCCTCGCCGGCGCGGGCTCGGCGCGGCGCCGCCCGCACGCCTCGCCGCCTCCGCCACCGCGCGGGAGAGGGGCGACTCCGGCTCCTCCGCCTGCAGGAAGGTTCCGAGAAGGCTCGTGCTCGGCTCGAGGAGCGGGCGAGGGCGGCCCCTCCCCACACCTCGGACGCGGCGGCGCGGATGGAGGGAGGAGGAGGGCGACAGTCTGGCAGAGGGTCGTGCGTCGCGTCGATCCACTGGGCAAGCGTCATCACTGCCGCCTGACGAGCCGACGAGGCGAGTAGGCTTCTCCGGGACCGCTGTTAATTAATTAATAAACTAATTAACTCATTAATTGGTTGAGTGGGCTTCTCCGCGACCGCTGTTAATTAATTAATAAACTAATTAACTCATTCATTGGTTGAGTGGGCTTCTCCGGGACCGCTATTAATTATTAATTAAAGAATTAACTACCTAATTAGTCGTCTAGGGTTAGGGCTCGGGTTAGGGCTCGGGTGAGAAACCTCGAGGGCGAGGTAGACAAAGGGGCCTAGAGCACACTCCCCGAGGCGTGACGCGTCTCTGCCGGCCCGGGGGCTAGGGTTGGCCCGGGGGCTAGGGTTGGCCCGGGGGCTAGGGTTGGCCCGGGGGCTAGGGTTGGCCCGGGGGCTAGGGTTGGCCCGGGGGCTAGGGTTGGCCCGGGGGCTAGGGTTGGCCCGGGGGCTAGGGTTGGCCCGGGGGCTAGGGTTGGCCCGGGGGCTAGGGTTGGCCCGGGGGCGGCACCGTGCGTCTCGTGGAGGAAGAGGCGGAGACTATATCTCCCCATATCTCCCCATATCTCCCCATATCTCCCCATATCTCACCGTGCGTCTCGTGGAGGAAGAGGCGGAGAACGTTCGGGTGAGAGTCGCACTCGATCAAGGTGCGGACCTGGGGTCAGGGGTCAGGGTTAGGGTTAGGGTTAGGGTTAGGGTTAGGGTTAGGGTCAGGGTTTGGGTCGGGTTTGGGTTTGGGTTTAGAGAGTCGCACTCGACGAAGGTGCGGACCTGGAGTAACACTTACTTACTTAATTACTATTAACTAATAATAGCCGACGAGGGCGCGGACCTGGAGTACCCCTTACTGACTTAATCAACTATTGACTAATTAACACGACGAGGGCGCGGACCTGGAGTACCCCTTACTGACTTAATCAACTATTGACTAATTAACACGACGAGGGCGCGGACCTGGAGTACCCCTTACTGACTTAATCAACTATTGACTAATTAACACGACGAGGGCGCGGACCTGGAGTACCCCTTACTGACTTAATCAACTATTGACTAATTAACACGACGAGGGCGCGGACCTGGAGTACCCCTTACTGACTTAATCAACTATTGACTAATTAACACGACGAGGGCGCGGACCTGGAGTACCCCTTACTGACTTAATCAACTATTGACTAATTAACACGACGAGGGCGCGGACCTGGAGTACCCCTTACTGACTTAATCAACTATTGACTAATTAACACGACGAGGGCGCGGACCTGGAGTACCCCTTACTGACTTAATCAACTATTGACTAATTAACACGACGAGGGCGCGGACCTGGAGTACCCCTTACTGACTTAATCAACTATTGACTAATTAACACGACGAGGGCGCGGACCTGGAGTACCCCTTACTGACTTAATCAACTATTGACTAATTAACACGACGAGGGCGCGGACCTGGAGTACCCCTTACTGACTTAATCAACTATTGACTAATTAACACGACGAGGGCGCGGACCTGGAGTACCCCTTACTGACTTAATCAACTATTGACTAATTAACACGACCAAGGCGCGGACCTCTCTGCGCGCGAGCGCCGCGTGCGACGTCAGCAGCCTCTTGGCGGCCACTCGCCTTGCGGGGGGACATGTCGTGGACACGTCACGGACCACCGCGACGTCAGCAGCCTCTTGGCGGCCTCTCGCCTGCGGCCGAGTCTCGCCGAGAGGACGACGGTCCCGTTCGAGCCCGTCCCTAGCACCTCCTCCTCGTAGATGACCAGCCGGCCTAGTGGCATGTCTCGGACATGTCGTGGACGTGTCTAGCACCTCCTCCTCGTAGATGACCAGACTGCCGACGCGAGTGCCGCGCCGCCCGCCGCCACGCCAGCCGAGGAGCCGCGCGGAGCCGAGGCGGCAGCAGCGGGCGAGGGCGAGGAGGGCGCCGCCGCCCAGCAGCAAGGTGAGCAGCGCCGCAGACACGCCGCCCTCGCCGACCGCCGTCAGCTTCGCCCGCCGCAGCAGCGGCGCGCCGGGTGCAGCCGAGAGCGGCGGCGGCGGCGGCGCTCCGGCGGGCGGCGCGTAGAAGGAAGGGTGATAGAGGGAGGGCAGCGGCGGGGCGGAGAGAGGGAGGTACTCTTGCGGCGCGAAGGGCGCGACGGGCGGCCGCCACACGAGCGCACCTCCCTCCACGCCTCCCTCCACACCTCCCTCCACGCCTCCCTCCACGCCTCCCTCCACGCCTCCCTCCACGCCTCCCTCCCCCCCGGGGGCGGGAAGCAGCCTCGCCGCGTCTCCGATCCGCCGCCGCTCCGGCAGGCCGGCGGCGGAGAGGAGCGCCTGATCTCGGGCAGACGCCGGCTAAGCAGAGAGGGTGCGGCAGAGAGGCGGTGGCAGAGAGGGTGCGGCAGAGAGGCGGTGGCAGAGAGGGTGCGGCAGAGAGGGTGCGGCAGAGAGGGTGCGGCAGAGAGGCGGTGGCAGAGAGGGTGCGGCAGAGAGGCGGCGGCAGAGAGGGTGCGGCAGAGAGCGGCGGCAGAGAGGGTGCGGCAGAGAGGGTGCGGCAGAGAGGCGGCGGCAGAGAGGCGCCTCGGCAGGCGCGTCGGTCCACGAGCCGCTGCGGAGGCGGAGGAGCTTTCGCCAGCCGCGCGGGAGCTGCGCCGGCGCGAGCGTCTCGTTGTGCAGCGACCGGTTGTAGATGTACGACGCCGCCCGCGCGTGCGTGTCGGGAGAGAGCACGAGCGGCAGCTCCGCGACCGCCCTCTCCGCCCACGCAGCGAGCACGAGCGCCGAGGCGGGCTGGCAGCGCTGCGAGCCGGCGTCGCACAGCAGACCGAGCAGCCGCCCGTCGCCCACGTCGAGTGCGAACGGGAAGAGCGGCGCGGGCTGCTGCGCCTGCGCCAGCGCGGTGCCCGTCTGACCGAGGCTACGATTGCTAGGCGGCGCCGGCGCGGCCCGAGGCCGCGGCTGGTCCTCCTCCTCGGGCGCCTCGCAAACCTCCCACGCGTCGTCCTTGCCCACCTCCACGCCCATCGCCGCACCGGCGTGAGGCGCTCAGTTTGCGGCCAATGACGCTGGATTCGACCACTGGGCTGTTTGGGGAGTTCAATTCTCGAGGTGGATATCCTTTGGCCGCGTTGGGTAGCGAGGATTGGTGTGACGCGATCCACGCAGGCGTGGTTTCTGGCGGCCGACCGTCAGTGCACGGAGTTGCCCCTTCTCCGACTGCCCCGGCTAGTTGGAGGGGGGCTCGCTGCAGGGAAGGGCTTGGGGCGGGCGAAGTGTGCACGCACTCACACACACGGAAGAAAGAAACCCGACCGCGTCGAACTCATCGGCGCGGGCTCTCTCGGCTACGGGACCGGCCCCAGCTTCGGCTGAGGGCTAACAAGCTGCCGAGCCCAAATCACTGTGAGCGTCGTGATTTCTTGTTGGTCTTGACCGATCGAGCTACAAGAGGAGCTTGTTCAGCAGGATCCGTCCCCGCACGCAAATTCACACGACAAGGCGCAGACGACGACGGCTTCTGACCTGCTCGACCACGGCCCCGCTCAATCGGGCATGCTTAGATAGTTTGAAGCAGAGCCGAGGAGGTGAGTGAAGATCGTAGAGCCGAGAGCTCCGAGACATTCCCTCCTCTTCCCTATTCTCCTTGATTGTTAGGTGTATTGTTGGCAAAATTCTCCTGGGGTTGGGGCGGCCTCGATGTGCGGGTTTACGGCGACCACGGCCAGCCGCGGCGCGCGCGGGGAGAACCCGATTTTTGCATGTGATGATGTCCCATTCGGATTAAAAGTTTTAGAAACGCCTCGTGTACTCTGGAGCGAGCGATCGATGACCCAGCGGACAGATACGTGAGACAACACACCCCGCCGATATTGTCCGGGCTAGGTCGTAGGAGGCTCAGTAGCGCTAACAATCCGACCCAACGCATCGTCGCCGACGAGCCTCGTCAGCTCCTTCAGCACCCGATCCCGCTCCTCGTTGGAGGTCTCGTTGGGGTTAGACTCGAGGGCCTGGAAACGATCGAAGAGGGCGTTCACGCGCGGCCAGAGCGCGGGGCCGACGAAGTAGCGCGTCGCCACGCGCAAGCGGAAATCGCGCTGCTCTCCATTCTGGCCGACCACCGGGATCAGCTTGACCGCCATCAGCGCCGCCTTGATCCGCTGCTCGACCGACGGAAGCGACGGCACGGGCGGCAGCCGCGACGGGTCGGGCAACACCCCCGGCGCAGGGTAGAGCTCCTATCAGCAAGAAGCTCACCAACTCACGTGAGGTGATGCCTGCTGGCACGCCCGGCGCTGTGTTGAGCTCCTCGCGCTGCTTGCACCACCGCTGCGCCGCGTGGAGTAGCCACTCCTGAGCAGGGGGGCATCGGCTGAAGTACCTCGCAATGGATCCCTGTTGGTTGCTGCCACTCCTTCGAGGCGGCGTGCACGAGAGGCGCCGAGATGCGCCGAGATGCGCCGAGATGAGCCGAGATGCGCCGAGATGCGCCGAGATGAGCCGAGATGCGCCGAGATGAGCCGAGATGAGCCGAGATGAGCCGAGAGGGGCAAAGCTGAGCCGAGATGAGCCGATGGAGCAACGGCAGGCGCCTTTGAGACGGCGTGCACCCCCTCCTTCACCGCCCGCTCCACCGAGCCAGACCGCTTCTCGCCTGTGAGGAGGCACCACACAGCCTTCACCGCCCACTCTACACACGGATGGAGAGCCTCAGCTCGCATCTCGCCCGCGACGACGTGCGTGATGAAGGTGGCGTCCCACTTCCTGTGGCACTGCGCGCCTGCCGTGGACATGGCACGGACGTGTCTCGGACGAGTCGCGACAAGAGCTGCGTCCCGCCTCCTGCAGCAGCGAGCGCCGAGCGACTCGGCGAGCCGCCAGAAGGCGCACCTGTGGTGGACAAGCCGCGCTCATCTCGCGGACACGTCGCAGACTTGGCGAGGCGGGGAGAGGCGGCAGCAAGGGACGTCCTCATCTCGGGACGGGCCACTCTCGGCCAAGCCTCACTCTCGGCCAGCCTCGGCCCCTCCCCGCACACCTCTCGGGGTGGTTAGGGTTAGGGTTAGGGTTAGGGTTAGGGTTAGGGTTAGGGTTAGCACACCTCTCGGGGTGGTCCGGTGTCTCGAGCAGCCCGCCCGCGAAGACGAGGTGCACCTGCGATCTCGGCAGCTCTCGCGTGAGCTCTGCCGATCCCCCGCCGACCCCGCCAAACAGGCGGGTGCGCCATGCCACCCACTCGCCCTCCTCTCTCTGCTAGCCTCTGTGCCGCCTCCGCGCCGCCTCTCGGCTGCGTCTCGGCTGCGTCTCGGCTGTCTCTCGGCGCCTTGTCCAGCACACCCTTCCTCTGGGGAGATATGGGGAGATATGGGGAGATATGGGGAGATATGGGGAGATGAGCCTTGTCCAGCACGCCCTTCCTCTGCGCGTCGAGCGCGCGGTCTGCGCTCTCCTCGCCGCCGCTGCTCCAATCGAGGTGCACCCTCCGCAACACCCGCAGCACGTCCATCAGAGTCGGGTCGGGCATCGCAAACCCGCCGCTGGCGCTGCTGCTGGCGCTGCTGCTGCTGCTGCTGCTGGCGCTGCTGCTTCCGCCGCCGCCGCCGCCGCCGCCGTCCGCCTCCCAAGCCGCGGCGCTCGAGTCGTGCACGCGCGGCGGGATGTGCGCCTGTGCGACACGTCCAGCACACGTACAGGACACGTCGAGGACACGTCCGGGACACGTCCGGGGACACTGTCGCGTGGGGGGCGTCGGCCGCCTGCTGGCTGTCCGAGTCGAAGGCGCGGAAGGCGGGCACCTGCAGCACGTGCGGCCGGGACACGTTGTCCCACACCTAGCAACCAGCCACGGACTCACGGCGAGCGATTCGCCGGCCGAGAGACCTCGAGAGACCTCGAGTCGGTCGCCTGTTTGGACATCGAGGGCGTGAGCAGCTGGGCGATGAGTCACGGTCGGTTGTTTGTCCGGCGGAGAGATGCGTGTCGCGTGCCTCGTCGCGGTCGTCCACCACGAGGTACGCCGCCTGATCGCAGCTGCAAGCTGTGAAGAGGCGCCGCCACCTCTGCCGCACCGCGGCCAGCTCTCTCCTTGAACTCGTCGAGCTCCGCAGGCTCTGCGTCTGCAGGCTGGAGGTGGGAGAGGCTCCTGCGGGGCATGTCTCGGACATGTCACGGACGTGTCCAGGCCCCGCCGGCCGCAGGGCGCGAGACGCGCTTGCTGAAGTTGTCGGGCTGGTTGTCCTCGCGGCAGAGGACCCGGCCCCGGATCAGCCGCACCTCGGGATCGATCGCGTTGAGGACCTGGCGAGCGAACGCCTTGTGGTCAGCAAGAACTGACGCAGCCCACTGTGCACGACTAGCCGAGGCGCCTTGCGCGTGTACGACTTGGCCGCCATCGTGTAGATGTGCACGTCGGCGAACTTTTGCACCTCGTGGAGAAACGAGTGCAGCCCGTGCCGCGTGCGCACCTGGTAGCGGTCCTGCCTGCGCGCGCGCGGGTTGTCGAGGAGAAAGGAGTGGACGCCATCGATCGGCACCGCCTCGGCGCCGCCCGGCACGTGCGCAGCGTGCAGCAGCGTGTGGTCGATGTCGAGCACGAGCTGGAGGCGCGGCGGCTTTGAGCGCGGCGACGGCGAGAGGACGGAGGCGCCGGAGGCGGAGCGGCGGACCCGAGAGACGGAGGGGCTCTGCGGGATGCAGAGCAGCGCCGCCTCGACCGCGGAGCCAGGCTCCTGCCGTGAGGGAGCCTGAGCTTGCATCGACCGGGGTGGGGCTCGCTAGCCGCTCGGCGTGAAAGTGCGACCGACTGCTCAGTGCATGGGGCGCCTTGTTGCGGGCAGAATGAAGAAAAAACTCGCCGGGCGATCTCTCCCTTCTCGACATACCGCGTTGGTGTCCAGTCCGAGCCTGACTGTTGTTCATCTTTCTACATACATACATACTGACTGTGGGATTAAAATGAACTCGGGGGCACAGGACGCGGCACAAACCGGGCACATCTTCTCTCTCCCAAACGCCAGGCAAACACGGGGAGGCACGCAAACACGAGGAGGCTGGAAAAATTCGAGGTGTGTAGCATCTACACTGGGGAGATCTTCCGGACAGGAACGGCGCAGCCACCAGAGACAGTACCAGATGAACTGTCACGACACACCGGCCGGACTGAGGCGTCGAGGGCCCCACTCGTTCCTTCGCATAGCGGCCACTCTTCGGATCGCTGGTCGAGCGACCCGGGGGATGCCCCGCGCGCCTGACCCAGGCGCGGAAACGAATCTGCGAGGCGTGGCCGCTCATGCGGCCCGATGGGGAGGAGGGGAAGACGTAGGGCGTGCTTGCGCGCCTTTCCGAGGCCCCTCCAACCCACCCGCGCTAGCTAGGTCTCGGGTTTGACGCATGGGGTCACTCCCGCGAAACTCGGAGAGAGAGATTTTTAGCAATACCAAGAGAGAGAGAGAGAGAGAGAGAGAGAGAGAGAAGGCATGGAGGAGCAGGGATGATACTTGGCTAGTTGGGGAGCAGGATGGTGATCTTCTCGAGACAATCAACAACTTGAGGTGGGAATTGTGGAAGACGGTCAGAGGTTTGGTTATCATCTGTCAGGTGCCAGGACATGCTAAGGGTGTTGGAGGAATCTCGGCTGTGGCGATGGTGGATGCAGTGGCGAAGTGGGCGGCGGAAGGGGTCCCGAGGGAGCCAGATCTGCTTGTGCGACGATCGATCGCAACTATGATGGGAGTCACAGACTACGGTCGGGTGGATGGAGGGGGTCAGGACACACTCAGCTCACTTGCGATAGGAGGGAAGGTGTTCTCAGAGGTGGCTAAGCGACTCCAGATGCTGTGGGCAAGAGAGATGATTCAGGAAAAGCTACGGGATGAGGATCACAGTGGACGCAATCACATGCTATTCGACTTGGCTAGGGCGGGGATTACTACTGTGGAGAGTGGGGAGGAGGCAAGGTGGACGACAATCAGGAGTCTACTTCTCAAAGGTGTGGGGGCGAGGGCGCGACCCAGTGGTGAAAAGTGTGGATATTCAGCAATGCTACAGACAATTGGGGCTTCTAGAGTCAACTGGAAAATGGACAAGTGCAAGTGTGGGCAGGTTCACGACGTAAGACACTTCATCTTGGGAGAGGGTGGGTGTCAGTTATGCATGAGTCAAGAGGTGAGAAGGGCTTTTAGAGAAGGGTGCAGCGATCTCTCAACTAAAGTCCTGGGGCTAGACTTGGTGCCAGACGACGAGGCAGGGAGATGTGGTCAGGACCTGGAGTGGGCGTCGGATATTCTCTTTGGGGACAAGTCCTACATGGTGACGAGAGACTCAGATGGGGACCGGATGTGGGTGCGGGCGGCCTCAACGGTGTTGCTGGGGTGCATGCTCCATCCAGGATTGAGTGCCCTGCAGCAAGGGGTGGATAACTTCAGACAAAGGAAGGCGGATGCTGACAAGTTTGGTCGAGAACGAGGACGACTTCACTGGACGCTTGAGAGGGCGAGCGCGGTGGGAAGCGTGGAACACAGAGAAGGAGAGGAGTCATCCGGGGAGGAGGGTGGTGGCGATGCATCGACGAAAGAAGAAGGGACGGAGGCGGCAGGGATGGGGCGATCGGATGAGCACAGAGAGGAGGGAGGAGAGGGGAAAGGAGAGGACGCTGAGCACTTTGACTCTGCGCCATGGATGGGTGAGCAGCGCGAGGAGGCAGGTGGGAGCAACCGAAGGATGATGGAGACGATTGTAGTGGAGGCGCTGAGAAATCTATGGGGAAATATCAACGAGGAACTGCTGGTGTACGAGGAGAGGCTGGAGGAGGTCGCGCAACAGGGGGAGGAGAAGCGGCGCAGGGAGACAGGAAGTCATCGTGTACGTGCGAACGAAGATGATTTGTACCGTCGAGGACAAGGGGCTCGCTTGGTGGAAGGGGCCGTGAGGGAGATGGTGCCGAGAGGGGAGGAGGCGCGGATGGAGACGTCAGCTAAGAGAGAGAGGGCCAAGGTGCAGGAAAAGAAGACGAGATCGGTGCGGAGCGCTGAGACCTTACTTCAGATGGGGCCTTTTGGGTGGCGATGCTTTGTGGGCGGACAGAGGGTGGATGCAATTCGGGATGCGGAAGTGCAAAAGCACATGGTGAGCGGGTTGGACGGACGCTATATGAGTGGAGAGGGGACTGGAAGGGTGGAGAAATGGCTGCGTCAGAGCGAGGAACGGGAGGAGAAGGCGATTCAGTGGTCGTTGGAGGAGAGCAATCGGCGGGTGAGAGAGGAGAGGAGGCAAGCGGAGGCGGATCAGAGCGAAGAAACACAGATTTCGGAATCAGACTCGAGCGGATGCGAGGAGGAGGTGGAGACGTGGAAGCGTTATGGACGACGGAAGGGGCAGAAGAAGGCGCGGGTGGATAGAGCAGCAATGATTTCAGATTCAGGATGGGGTCAAGGCAGTCAATCAGTCGATCAGTACATGAGTCAGTCAGTGGACCAGGCAGTCAGTGGTGAGCAGAGAGGAGAAGTTCAGATGGAAGTGGAGAGCGGAGGCGATAGCGGGGCAGCGGGGAGCAGCGGGCAGAGTGGGATCGATAGAGGGGAGTCGAGAGGAGACATGGTGGGAGGAGGGAGCTATGGTGAGGAGGACGACGAGCTTATGCTGGAGTACATGGGGAACGAGGGCGTGGGCAGCGAGGAGATCGACAAGTTCATGGGGTGGACGACGGTGGACTTGCGAGGGGAGCGTTTCAGTGGGCCAAGGCCGAGTGACGTTAATCAGGCTAAACGAAGCAGGGGTCGACGAGGAGGAGCAACTGGAGTGAGGCGAGCAGCGATGCAAGCTACGAGGAAGGGGAACGACTAGAACGTGTTCGTGATGAGACTGTGACCAGTCGACCGTCGTGCGACTGGCTGTCTAAGCCTGGCGCCGACCCGGTGTTTTGCACACCCACCTTCTGTTCAGTCGACGCTCGTTCGTCCACTGAGAACTCAGTGGTTGTCACCACTTTGTATGCTTTTAATATTAACCTTGCGAACTCGTCCCCCCCGGCAGGGCTATGCAACCGTGACCAGTGTGTGCTGTCTACGCCTGATCCAGGCGTGAAATCTGCCGATGCGTGATCTGTGTGTGGGCCGCTCTGTGAGGGGTCCAGGCATTGTCCGACGGGTAGGGGGTCTGTGCCCGGGCGGTGTCCGGTGCGGAGTCTCTCTCTGATCCCGCCTGTGGTGTTGGGTGCGAGGTCGTGGAAGCTTCGATCCCAAGGGGGGGAGCTGAGCCCACTCGATAACCAACTCTCAGGGGCAGTAGGTGGGCGAGCTTCAAGCGCGCTCATCTCGATCGTCAAGGCGTCGCTACGCGCGGTCTTCCGCGGGGGGAGCGTCGCCGACGGGTGCGGGACCGCGGCGCAGCCAGTGCCGTGGCGATGCCTCCGGCTGCTGCGGCGAGTGGCTTGCTGCTCGCTGCGATGGCGAAAAACTCGTCTCGTGGCACACCAAGGGCTTATGCTCTGTCGAGACGTGAGGCGTATGCGCCCAGGAGGGGAGGGTGCATGCGTAACGACGCTGCTAGAGATGCCTTCGGGGCCCAGAGATAAAACTTCTGATGCCATGCGTGACCTAGTAGTGTCCCCAGCTATGGGCGTGTCCACGTTGGAGCCAGGTGTGGTGTGGACGCGAGAATAGCTCCGCCGTTCATGGAGGCAACCGATGCGAGTCGACTGGTGTGTGTCGTCGTGGTTTCGTATCAAGAATTCTCTCTCTTTTAGCAATACCAAACAACTTGAAACTCGTGAACTAGCCGGGGCAGTCGGAGAAGGGGCAACTCCGTGCACTGACGGTCGGCCGTCAGAAAACACGCCTCCGTGGCTCGGGTTACACCAATCCTCGCTACCCAACGCGGCCAAAGGATATCCACCTCGAGAACCTCGAGAACACACCGGCAGCAGAGGGACGCAGCCTGCTTCATCCACCACAATACACACGATATGTCGCTCGCCACGCTCCGCCTCGCCGCCGTG